ACAAAAAAAAAAAAAAAAAAAAAAAAAAAAAAAAAAAAAGACAAGAATGATGAACTTAATGTGATGGAGAAACAAAACCTTACTCTTTTCAGCCAAAACCCAATTCCAAGGGTAGAGAGAATTTTCAGACCACGACCATGCTATTATAAAATGCTGAATTGTGCTAATTGAAAGGATGATGTTTCATGCAATGTAAGCAACTTTGCAAAAGTGGACAATGAAGCTACTCTTATATTCACATAATAATCACACATTTGTTTTACATTCACTGAATTCTTTCTTTTGAATAATTGCAAATTAAACAGTAATCTGGACTTTATGCATGTTAAAAAAGAAATCTATTCCCTCTGTTGTTTTACTGACTTCACTGGGACTACTCATGAAATCAGATGCAAGTGAGAAAGAGGGTTGGCATTAACATCTGTACCCAAATAGGCTACCTATTTATTGCTTGCAAAAATTTCTTTCAAATCTTTCAATGTGCTAAGAACAGTCAGAAAAATTATGAATTAAAAACAATGAATAGTTTTTAAAAGATGATTTTAAGTATCTAAAAAGGAGATGCAGAATAAATGTAGATTTGTAGCTCTTGCTGTACTTGAAATATTACAATAGTTGTAAAATTATACACCTACAGAGACTGAATAAACAAAAACTTACAAACGTGGAAAAAACAGCTAACAGTGAGTTTAAAAAAAGCTCCATAGGTAGTAATAAGCTAACTAAATAGGTCCTTACAGAGTGACACATTTAAAAAAAGAGGGGGGGAAAAAAGCCCACTAATGCCTCCAGCCCTCAGGATGCATAATACGAATAATAATCTATATTTTCCAATGCTTTTTATTTATCTGTTTAAATCTACTTTCTTGTTTTCAGAAAAAAAATTCCAGAAAATTAGTGTAGAGAGCAAGGCTATTACATGTACACAGTACACACTGAATCCAAAAAGTACTTTGCAAGTATTGAGATTAAACCTAATAATCAAACCTCTTGTAAGGCATTGATGGTATAGGCAGAATCATTTAATCAACTGCTAAATGCAGCTATTTTTGTAATAGAACTCTAAAGTTCTTTAAGATTACATAGCTAGAATGTGAATTATTTGGTATAGAAGGTGGACAGTTTATCCAGAGAACAACACAAAGCCATTTCTGCAAGGAAGTACCAGACTGTAGTTACACTAGCTGAAAATGGTCAGTGGCAGCAGGTTTAAAATCTCTGCTTTTATGAAAATAACACTGCAGTCAACAAGTGAGCTTGTCCTTGACTTTGCTTTTATGTAAAAGACATCTCTAAGGATGCACATGCTTTACTATTTTCTTATGGGAAAAAAATATCAGCTTATGTTAAACGTGTATTTGAGGAGGGAATGAACCACTATTGAAATGGTCTTTTTCCAGTTGTTATAGTGGTAATCTAGATGACTAGCCCAGATTAAATGCTTAAATTATTGGTGGCTACATTCTGGTGGAAAACAATGCTGCTTTCCACAACTGCATCACAATGGTATGTGCAATATTAAATCTAGAACATCTCTTTTGTTAAGAGGGAATATTAAAAAGAATTTGTTAATTAATATGTCATTACGACTCTCTACTTCTTGAGCGCTGGACTGGATATTTCATCAGTTTAGAGAAATAGTGAGTGCCTTCACTGCATTTTTCATTTATGAAAAGGCTCAACATGGTCTATAAGAGCTAATTAATTTTCAATTAAAAACATGTCTAAAGTAAAATAAATAATCAAACAAAGCATTTGCTTCCAACTTAAAGCAGTGGGAAGCAGATGAATATAACCTAAAAGGTAAAGACTCAGTGAAAAGCAAGGAACACTATTATATATATAGCAAAATACATTCCAGGTAACAACACAAATGAAGGAACGGAATTTTAACAACCTCAGAACATGGTAGGATACTGAAATAGACTGAAGATAAAGAAGGATAGGTTTTCTCTAACACCTCAGGGAAAAGTACTAACAAAGCACAATGGAATGATTGGCTCCAATGGACATTGGTACCTCAGCTACACCTGGAGAGAGTGGCACAGTAGAAAGAAAACGCTCTGATGAACCACTGGCAGAGATTCTCTTCCCTCAGCTTTCAGAGAAGCCGCACTGCCAGCAGCTCCACAATCTGTGCTGTGATCCATTGATCCTCTGAGCTCTATCATAGATTTCTTACCAGATTTTTCTGCTAGCGATGCCAGCCATTAGGGATTCATCTTTATGAGATATTCTTTAATGTGTCAGGGCCTCCAAAGAAAACCACCTCCAGGGTTAAGCTTCAGAGTCCCACAGGATAGGAAAGGTGTGTCCTATTGGGCTGTTATCCATCCTTTGCTCACACTCCACAAACACGCATCACTGAACCCATCCCTCTGAAGAGCCTTTGAGGGCAGGAGTGTTTGTGGGTAGTGTAGAGAGAATCTGCTAGGAAAGGAGACTTTCTGTATGTAGATCTGGTGTTTTGGTTTCAGCTGTAGTTCTCTGCTCTTTTCTTCCTTGCTTTCTTTTCTCTTTAGCTGATTTCTTTTCATATCTATCTTCCTGGAGAAATTCACTTTGACACTTCCCACCACCATGTATATGTAAGTGTGCAGATGTAAATGCCTGCACAGCAGCTACCTGTACACAGGCATTCTTTTTCATTTTTCTTCTGCATTTGTGTTCCACCCTTTCAGACTTCACTGCTGCTGTAATGTCTTATATTAACAGCAACCGCCCCTGTAGCACTGTGTCCCACAAGCCTCTCTCTTGCTGATTTATATGCTGTAGAGAAGAGGAAAGCGCAGTAAAAAGTAAATAAAGATATTGGAAGAAGAGTGGAAGGTGCAGTACTGTACCTGTGAAATAGTCCCCTCATGGTCATGTGGCAGCAATGCCCAAATATTGAATGTTATTCCCATTAATATGTCCATCTGGATCCATTTAGTTTCCTTCTCTTTTAATTTTATTACCAATTAAAGGCATCACAGCAGGGTATGAACTGAAATGAGGCATTTTTCATGCAGCATAGACCACTAGTGTATAGTAATACCTCCCTTACAATTTAAGACTTCACAATATTTCTTTTTCACGTGAGCAGAGGCTGCTGGCCTGCTCATTTAACTGATGTTGAACTTAATTTGAGAAGCTCAGGCTTAATTATACAAGGACTAATCTAGTTTTGTTTTATAATGGAATATTATCAGGAGTCATGATTAAACATAGTTGTAAAAGTGAATCCACCCTCCATAATGTGGTGTTAGAGGCAGAAGCAGATGAAGAACGTAATAAATCAAAATGCTACATAATCCACTTCCAAGCCTAACTCTTCCACCTTTTCTCAAATGTATTAATACTCACCAAAAAGTAGAACTTAATGACCTCAGTAGAATTCTTTGTAGAGTAAGGTATACTCAAATGCTAATCAATAATGTACTTGCCTGACCTTAATTGCTTTTTTCAGACTTTGATATTCATGGTGATTATGGCAGTAAAACTCAGTAAAGAAAGCAGTAAATGTTTGGTGCATTTGGTAATGATAAGATGGAAAACAAAACTTGCCCCAAATTCATTGTTTTCTACATCTGAGTGTGTGATGCTGTGGTGAGTGAAGCCCAGTTTTCCCCATGATTGACTAGGACCTGATGCTATACCAGAATATTGCGGCTGATCTTGTGTAGGCAATAAGCATCTTCCTCCAAACTCAATTTCAATGCCCTGTTTACTCATATCAGAAATGTCTCTCTCTTCTGGCAGTCATTGTCTTCTCTGTTTATCACTATATACAGTATGATCAGTTTATAGTAAATGAGAATGTTATTGGTAACTAAGCACAAATCTTAGTGCATATTAAAAAGTACGATTACACAGAAAAGCCACGTATTGTAAGTGTTCTGTGAAGTGTGAAGCTGCTGGCAGTGTGAGAGGCAGTCAGTCCTTATTGCTTTACTTGCAGATGATGCCATTTACTTTTCTATAATGTTGTGAAGACATTTTTCTCTACAAAATACAGTGTTTCTTTGAAAACAGTTAAAAATTACTTTTCTGAGTATTTTAACATTTACATTTTAGAAGTTTTCAATACTACTATTTTCAGTTCTCAGCTGCCAGATTGTACTGGAAAGCTAATGTGTGAGTTCTCACGTTCACTTGTTGGCTGCAGGCTACTTTCTGCTCCTAGTTCTGTGGAGAATGAAATTTGACTGGAGAAAATGGGGACAGAAAAGTTGGAGAATAAGATCTATTTTAGAAGATTTTTAATTCTGTACTTTATCCGATGGAAAAATAAAAGCAAAAACGGAGCCCGGAAACTAGATAACTAATGATATGAAGCTATTTTTCATGCTGTTGTCTAGTTGGCCACCTGCTAGCTTTACTAGTGTGATCTGCATATACATCTTACATGGCTAACAACTGTAGGTGAGCAGGCAGTCTGAAAGCCAGTTCCTAATGGATGTACGTCATCATCTCTTACTACAATCTAGCTGGTATTAGCTGACATTTTCAGTGGCAGCTTTTAGCAGAAGGATTGAATGGATATAGAAATGAACTACTGTGTTGCTCTCTAGAGACATGGAATTCTATAGGCATAAATGAGGCACCCTGATGTGAAGTACTCCTGATGAGGAAGCTTGAAATGTGGTGCATTGTAGTTTACTTGTTATTTGGCTAAATAGATCAGTGTACATTAAGGCTGTCAATCAAGAACTTTGATCCATTAAAATTTGGAATAGTTTTTTTGTACAAAAAGCAGGAAAATGAAGAAAAAAGAAGTGCTGACTTTCCAATTTTAGAAAATTATTTCATAAATGGCATCAGGGGACCTGTATTTCTGTCTTTTACTGAACAAATATTCTTAGCTTATAAGCGAGTTTTTCCTAACTAGTATCAGAAAGTCAAGTGAAGGTATTTCTAGCTTGTGCAAGTCCAAAAATAGAGAATCCAGCTGAGATTTTAACAGTCTAGGGGATGATGCACAAATCAGAGTAGAACATGGCTCCCTCTTCTGGAATTTTTTTTTTTTTAATTCTACAATGTTAACCAGAGTTTAAAAACAACAAAATCTGAATTTGGAAAATAAAGTACTCAAATATCAGCCTGGAATACATATGAAAAGGTCTGTAGAATTAAAGTCTCCCAATCTCAACTGGTAAAACTGTTCCTGAAGTTCAAGTAATTGCCAAAGACTGTGTCTGATTTGAGTATCAGTACTAACACCTGCAAAGTTGGACATTTATTTGCCAGTATATAAGCATACTGTCAGGTATACTACAGGTGCCTTTAAAACAACACAATGTAAACCCATGGTATTGCCAAATTGTCATGGAAGTGTAGACAGATGAGGGACAATGGGTTGAAAGACCGGCTTCCTGGGTGGTAGGTTTCCAAAAAGTTAATTTAAATAGGTCCAGAGCACAGTGAAGCTGAAGAGAATACATCCATTTGCTTCAGTAGCTTTGAAGGGACTATCTTGAGTTTTAAGATAATGACTTCTGTGTGACAGATGTGGCTTTTTCTAGTGATAGTTGGCTGTCTTTGTCAGTTGTTAAATGTGGACAGAAAAAATACCAAAATAGCACTTACCTGAAAACATCATCATGTGCTGAAAGTTCCTCGGAATCTTTTGTTTTCGACCCAAATTCAAAAGGAAAGAAAGTGGGTATATGTTGCAAGCTCTTGCTACAAAAACTGCCACCTAAAATGTAAGACGTTGAGGAAAACAGTGGAGGAACTACTGACAAAACTAGAGTTAACTTAAACCCAGTGTTTCTCCGAAGTTATTTTAAAAGTGTAATTAAAATGAATATGAGATTATCTTCCTTCATATTTTACATGTCAGATCCTTCTGGTTCCAATTTCATTATAAAACTGTGCAATGGCAGAGATTGTCTTCCCCAGACATCCTGGTTTTATATTCATCATTACATATCCCACTTCAGTCAGTCTGATTTTACTTATCACATTTGTATCACATGCGACTTCATCTTCAGTCCTTCAGTAAAATGCCCGTCATCAATTGCAGAGATGGAATCATCTCCTTGAGAAGCAATTTGCAAAGAATAAATGTGCTTTTGGACACGATTACTTTCTTATTTCCTGACAATTCATATTGTCTATATCCAGCACACTTTGCTTTTTTTATTTTTCCTGTTTCTTTGGAGATTTTTCAAAAGGAATTCTTTATTACACCTCTGTGGAACAATCACAAAAGTTGCCTTAATTAGAAACATGAGGCTATTTCAGATTTAAAACAAAGACCATCAGAGCTCCTTATACGTGCTTTTAGCAGGTTCCATCCTCCTGTCTTGTGACAATTAGGGCTCAATTACGGCACTCTTAGTCTGAAACATGCTGTGGACTGTAGAATAGATGAAGTACGTGAGTGGCAAGGTGTGTATGTATCTCACCTGCTGGGCCAAGAGCTGCTTAAACCTCCTATGGACTTGGGAGAGCATGCATTAGCCGGTGTTGCTGCACATGCCCTGTCCTCAGCTGTCCAGTGCAACCCTGTTGCAGTCTGTTGGCTCTTAGTGAGAGGAAATGATAGAGCCAGGTCCCTGCAGTGCTCTGCCGCACAGTCCCCATCTGGGGTGCTGAGTGCTGCTCTCGTGTTCAATTGTCTTCCCATGCTAGGAGTGCAGGACACAGTATTGCACTTGCCTTGTGGCGGTGGTGGGGTGCAATAGGCTCTGGGGGTCCTCTCTGCCATTTAACCCAACCTGTTGCCAAGGGAGCTGTGATGCAGTTCTTATTTATTCATTTGGAAATTACATATAAAAATTACTGCAAGTAAACTGTATGATCCCAACTTTCAAAGCTGTTACAGTTCATCAAAAAGTTATAAGCAAAGGGCTGCTGCTCTGAGCCAAAGAAATAATTCTGTAAATCGTCAGTGTGAAAAGAATCAATACCGCTGTACAAGGAAGCAACAGATTTGTTGAGAAACCGTGGCCGAATTAAAGACACAGTCTCTTAGGCACGTGATGGTGTAAATAAATCCATGTACACTAGGGATATCAAATACAAAGAAGGAAAGATTTGAGCAATGCAGAACTGTTTTCTTTTTAAGGACTTAATATAATTTCAGTAGCTTTGGGGAAGTTCTGCTTATGGCACATATCTGTCTGGAGGCAGCTCTACAGTTTGTGGATCTGCACTGGTTCTGGACAGGCAAAAAGATTTTGTGTGCCTGCACCTGTCCCCACAGATATGTCCCAATGCACATCCCAGTTTCCCACCCCACTTGTAAACCAGTGGCAAAAGTTCCCCAGCTGGTTTAAAGCTATTTGCCTTGCAGCAGATCTGCAAAACAGTGACTGTCTAAAGACCATGTGCCTACATGCGTTGAGCCAGCTATTAAGATATATGTAATAAATATGATTGACTCTGGACTTGACAAAAAAATTGATTTTTAGTATTTAAGGAACTGATTGGTTTGCTTGTTGACTTTTTTTTCCCACATGGAGCACATATTTTTTATATATATATATATATTTACATACGTGTACATAGATATATACTTTAAAGCAAAGGATACAAATGCACCAAATATAAAAAGAGGATTGAAGAGATGATTTTGAAATGTGAATAGTGCGAGTCCCATGTAACAGAAGATGACGTTCTCAGCCAAAAAATTCATGAACTCGAACAACTTAAGAGAGAAAGAACATAATTATGACTCACGTCTGTAACTACTGTTTATCGCCAGGTTCCCTTGGAATACAGAACTATTTAGATGAAAGGAACAGAAATTGCACCTATTTCAAGGGTGGATTTTAAAACCATCTAATTTGCTATACACTACACGTGGTGTCTTTTAGCTTTAAAAATCATAGTTGCTTGCATGTTTTTCTCTGATTTGCGTAAGAAAGCTTGACATAGACAACTGATAAAATACATAAACAGCAAGTAAGTTATACAAGCTTCAATGCAAACTGCAAGGAAGCTGGGGGAATTTAACTTCACTCATGTTTACACAGGTGAGCCTGGGAAATGGCTCCTGATTACACAAGTGGCTATGCATAGTGCAGTACTGGGTATGGGTACACTACTGCCAAGAGAGGGAAAAAAAGTCCCTAAATGGACTTTTAAGAACCTGTGCCTTTACAATGCAACACAATCTTTTTTATTACCATGAATATTATCCTGCAGATGAAAACTTTTATTGCACTGTATGGACATCAATATCAGTTACTCATTTCAAACCAAACTACTTAAGATAACATTTTAAAGTATTATAAAATAAGCCTAAAATACATGATTATGGTAGGATTTCTTCTGTGAAAAAACAAGCAAAGCCAAAATTCATTTGCCTTGAGGGGATGTTCTTGATTGTATTTGCAGCTGATTATATAAAAACTAATAAAATAATTTTTCATATTTATCCATATCTGGAAAAAAATCAATGATTGCTGCCAAATAACTACAGAGGAAAGCAAAAGAGGTCTTTTCACTTCTGAAGTCACTTTTGGGCTCAGGAGACTATGCTAACAAATCCTGATGCAGAATTAGGGCCAAAGTTTGTCAGTCTGTCTACAACCAGACATACATCACTATCCTGAATGTTACTATGGAGGTATTGTATTCATCCTCAATGGGCTTATGTATTTTTTGTAACATGGTTGTGCTTCTAAAAATAAATATCCAATAACAGTCACTAATATCTAACAAAGGAAAAATGAGAGCTGTCAGAATAATTATTTAAAACAAAATTCAGAAGCAAAATGGCATAAAACCCAGCAGTATATGGCAAAATACTTCAGACCCCATGGCAGCACCATCAGTTATCCCAAGCACACATTCCATAGCCCCCATTTTGTGCTGCATTGCTGAACAGCATGAAAACAAACACAAGAAATATTTGCAAGTTATGAGGCTTAAATTACTTCAATTAAATTTAAATGAGAAAAACTAGTTGTCAAAAAACCTGAAATATGGGATCTTGTGACCCATTGAAATTATTATGATAAATTTTTGCATTTCCATTTTGGGAGCAAACATGATCCCACTTCTTTGTGGGAATGTCATCTGACACATTTTTCTAATGCTCTAAACAATGTATCACGAGTGTCATGACAGGTTCTACATATATATATATATAAAAAACATATATTTGTGTATATATAAAAATCTTTTGAGGGAAGGGTACTGCTATGAGGAACCACAACTTCATACTTTAGTTGTTTGGATGAGATAAAGGTGCTCCAGAGGTTTTAAAGCTGAATGATTATTTCACTCTCCATTTACAAAATCTCATTCAAGACTTAAAGAAATGTAAAGCTACTATTGATGCATTTTAGAAACATAGTTTCTGAAACTAAAGTTTCATTCTTGTATTTTCCAAACTTTTTGTTGACGTACATTTTTTGAAAGAAAACAGATTTTGCTATATTGTTGCTTTTGCTGTATATTCTTTCTCAGTAATCTTTAACAGTAAATAAAAAAAAATTTAAAAATATCATCTTCAGAACTAATTATTGTCATAAAAGAAGTAATATCTGAATGCCTTTGCCTGGAACATGACACTTGTAGATATAACATGAAACTTATTCACCCTCCTCCAGACTTCATTTTTATTCCTCTATTCAGCATAGTGTTTTATTCAATGTTTATTCAGCTTCTGTGTTTTGTTCAACAGTAATACAGAGCCCATGGAGATACTCTATTAAGGACTTAACTGTCAGCACTGTGCAGCACAAATCTCATCAGAACAAAAAAATTTATTCTAAAGAGATCTTCGGGAAACCGTGTTAAGAAACAGCTTCCATAGAAGCGTTTTCCCAAATTGTCATGCCTTTCACTCAAATGTTTCTGTCACCATTTTAAAGATGAGACATCAAGACCTTTTGATGAGAAGCAGAAGAATAGGAGGTTTTAATCTGCAATTTATAATTTCCTGGGACACCCAAGCAGTTCCAAGAGGAGTTGCACCATACACATTAGCCTCTGAAAAACATCCTTCTTTAAGTGGCCATAAGCCAGGTCCATGCTATGGTCCACGGTCTGCTTAAATGCCACTCAAAAATATCCCTTATTTTGAATATATGTACTTGCAATTAGGATTACTTGGGGGGGGGGAGAAAAAAAAGTTAGAATTAGAATCCTACCTACTGAGTCCTTGAAAGTATTTTGTCTATAACCATAAATTCCCTTCCCTTGCCTCCCACACAGATAACTGACCTCTTTCTACTCTAAATGAAATTGGCATTAAATTGCTCATATGCTGCCATTAGTTCCCCCAAGGCTACCAGAAAATTATACTAGAAACCATTTTAATATACACATAGTAATAAGAGATTTTTTTCTGTATAAAACTAAAAACCCTCATTGTGCCATTTCTACCTCTTCACAAAGTCTATAAATCTGCTTATAGCTTTAGAGTAAGAGTTGTAATAAATCACCAGTGTCAACACATTGCAGAGTAGAGTATTAATTACAAAAACACTGGTTCAGAACCAATCTGGGCAATTGGTTTAGGTGTTTAGCTCAGTGAGTTACTGAAACTGGTATTTGCTTTGCTTTGGTTATTGTCTCTGTAAAAAGTGGATATTACAAAAGATTTATATTAAAAAGTTTGTTAAAGTTGACATAATACTTAGGTATTTAAAAACACATCATTCACCAAATATGCTTGGTGGTTCTGTTGCTTTCAGCCATTGTAAGTGCTAAGAGGGCTGTGCAAAAAATCAGTTTTAAGCTAGGACATTCTTCTGGAAAGTACCACTTGCAGTTCAGCTCTCACTGGCAGAGGAAGGAATCAATCCAGGTTATCTACACCTTGAGCCTTGCTGTAACCACTAAGTTTATCTTTTACCGATGTTTTATTTTAACTCAAGTGAAAAATTTTATGATATAAAAACTGTATTAGTTTTATCTTTTAAGCGAGATAATGAAAGCGCTTTCTTTTTTCTTCTCCTTCCTTCCCTCCACCTCCACAGTTAAGTTCAAGCCAATTAGAGAAACAAGCTGTACCAAAATGGGTTTTGCAACTTGATCCATTTTATAGAACTACTTAAATTTTCACTGAGTGTTAGAGAGATTATCTAGGTAAGTAATTAGTGCACCTGGAAGATGGGACACGCTAAGTTCCAATCTCAGCTGCAATAAAAATAGAATTCTTTAAAGAAGCATCAGAAGGAGAAAATGAACATATTCTTTGCACAGTTCCCTTTGGTTGGGGAGATAGAAAATGTAAGATTTCTCAAATCCTAATATTTTAAACAGCATTTTTGATCTCAAGGGAATAAAGTTAGTATGAGAGTACTGGGTAAGAGCAGAACTACAAACAGCATTCTTTCATCTTGAGGGAATAATGTTAGTATGGAGGTATTGGGTAAAAGCTGAATTACATCCACAACTTATTTCCACCAAAACTCCGTGAATTTTACTCACTGGTGGCAATATTACAATCTTTCGCTTAATACCTGCTGAAGGAATGTCATCCACCTCTTGCAGGTACCTGCAAGCCTTCTCCAGTTGCATTGATTTTGCTAGCAACATGGAGGAATTCTGTCTATCTAGGCGTTACATCTTACAGAGATATATTATTGCATGACATCAAAATAGGGAGAGTTTCAATAGTCCAACAGCAGCTAGGAAACTAGGATGTAAAACTTATTATACTTTTTAAGAGAGATTTGAAGGTGACAGAGAGCTATTAAAATCCCAAGCAGTCAATGTTAAATGATGGTTATAAAATTTGTTATATTTAAATAATGCTATCTAATTGGAATACAGCTATCAAAAATGTTCCATGAAGTCAAGGATATTGATAAATCAATAGTTGATGAAAATTGCTTTTCCCTAACTATTTTGAATTAAAAAGTGAGAATTCAGACTACCATAATTTTTCTGAGATTGTAGAAGCTTTTATTATAGCCTAATTACTTTATTTAATCTTTCTCTTTTGATTAGAAGTTTCAAAATCAGAAAAAGGAAGTTTGAATTTGAACCTCTTGCCTGAAATCCTTTATACAGTTATAATGAATCTTCACAGCATAGCGATTTAATGCTCATTTCTAGAATAACATGCGTAGATGAAAGAATCAGCAAAAGTAACTCAAATTCATGATGGAATATAAACTTGTTTATGGCACTAATTTTGATATCCAAGCATATTTGACTGTAAACTTACAAACACACCAGCAGAGAGAGAGAGATTCTTACAAGATCTTCTGTGTCCTGGGGCAAAATTCTGGCCTTTTTTATCAGTAGGCTCTGCTACTGAATTCAATGAATTTCACCCCAACAGATTTATGGAAGGCATACAATAACTTTCTATTTCCCTATAGAGCTGGGAGGTTTAAAACATTCATAAGGCCTGAGGAAGAACTGGGAAAGTAAAAGGAAAAAGAAATAAGGAAAACAGCAGCACCAATGGAGAGGAAAGGCCAGCAATATTTTGCATTTATACAGTATGGATTATTATTTCTGGCATAATCTACACACCGCCACCGAAGTTCAGCTTTGGGAGAAGCTGGATAAACTACTGGCACAGAATACACTTCTGACTAGGAAGAGTAAAGAAAAAATGTTGGTCCCATCATCAAGGCAAATCCTTTCTATTATTAAAAATGCCATACGTCTTGAATGGCTTTGCTGGACAAAAGAAGTTTAAACCAAAAATGTTGAAAATTAGGCAGCTAATTAAAA